CTGCAGGTGGAGGTCACTGCAGGTCGAGGTACTGCGGCAGCACGTCGTCCCAGAACTGCTGAGAGTCGTCGGGTCTCTTCTCCGCTGCAGCTCTCTGCTTCGTCCTCGGTGCTGGTTTAGGTGTTTCTTTCTGTTCAGGAGACTTCTTCTGGGGCTTTTCCTCCTCTTCCTCCTCTTCTTCTTCTTCTTCTTCCTCATCGCCTTCTTCCTCTTCCTCGTCCACTTTTGTGTTTCCCTCACTCTCATCCTCCTCCTCAGCATGCTTCTCACTACGTTTGGCATTTGCAACCTTTCCTTTTTCTTCACGCTCCTCTTCTTCCTCCTCTTCCTCTTCTTCACTCACTTCTCCTTCCTCGCCCTCATCGTCATTTTCCTCTGTTTGTTTCTGTTTTCTTTCTCCTCTCTGATTATCAGATCTTTGTTTACTCTTTGTTTCATTCTCCTCTTCCTCATCTCCCTCTTCCTCTTCTTCCTCTTCCTCATCATCGCTCTCCACCATCAGCTTTTTATTAGCTTCAATACTTTGCTCTTTTCTCTTTATCTTTTCTTCTTCCTCCTCACCTTCACTCTCTTCTTCTTCTTCATCTTCCCCTTCCTCCTCTGCTATCTCTTCTTCACCCTCTTCTTCATCCTCTGCAGCCTCTTCCTCAACTCCTCCCTCATCGTCTTCCTCCTCCTCACCAGGTTTTTCCTCATCTTCCCCCTCTTCTAAAGATGGTTCTTCCTCACCTTCTTCTTCCTCCTCCTCTGTAACCTTACCCTCTTCTTCTTCCCCCTCGTCTCCAGTCTCTTCCTCAACTCCTCCTTCATCCTCTTCTTCCTCTGAAACCTCCTTACCCTCTTCTTCCTCCTCACCCTCTTCTTCTTCCCCCTCCTCTCCAGTCTCTTCCTCAACTCCTCCTTCATCCTCTTCTTCCTCTGAAACCTTCTTACTTTCTTCCTCCTCTTCACCCTCCCCCTCTTCTTCATCCTCTGCTGTCTCGTCCTCAGCCCCGTCATCTAAAGATGCTTCTTCATCCTCCTCATTTTCGTTATCGCTCTTCTCATCTTGCTCTTCCTCTTCTTCATCAGCCTCACTCTCTTCTTCCTCTTCCTCCTCATTTTCAACACTCGATTCGTCCTGTTTCTCATCTTCCTCTCCTTCACTCTCATCTGTTTCTTCGTCTTCTTTGGAGTCTTTCTCCTCATCCTCACTTTCGGTGGAATCTTGATCATCTTTTTGTTCCTCACTTTCACTCTTTTCTTCCTCTGCGTCATTTTCTTCATCTTCATCAGACTCTGCAGTCTCACTTGCCTCTCTGTCCTCCTCCTCTGACTCGTTGCTCTTGCTGCTGGCTGTACTCCCCGATTCTTCACCACTTTCCTCTTCTTCATCCTTACTCACCTCACTTTCTTCCTCTTCTTCTTTATTCTCATCTTCACTAGACTCTTCACTTTCCTCCACTTCTTTATTCTCTTCTTCACTAGATTCTTCACTTTCCTCTTCCTCCTCTTTATTCTCTTCACTAGATTCTTCACTTTCCTCTTCCTCCTCTTTATTCTCTTCTTCACTAGATACTTCACTTTCCTCCTCTTCCTCTGCTGCTTCACTTACCTCAGAGCTACTTCCTCCACCTGTTTTCTCGCTGCTTTCTTCTTCCTCCTCTTCAGCCTCTGTAACATCACTCTTCTCGCTTCCTTCATCCTCTTCCTCACTCCTTGTAACATCATCTTCCCTCCCTTCCTTTCATCCTCCTCCTCACTTTTCTTATCTGCTTTTCCTCCTCACCCTTTCCTCCTATCTCAGTATCTTTTCTCTTCCTCATT